TCGCGGGAGCCGTCGAGTGAGCAAGCTGGCTCTGGAAGATACTCGAGGTCAACCCAGGCCCCCGACCATGGTCACAAGGCCGACCCCTCGCATGCCATCCCTGGCTGCGCATGGGGAGCCCGGCGCGCCTCTGCAGGTCTCTGTTTTCCTCCACCTCCGCCCCCACCCCCCACCCCGCATCCTGGACTCCGCCGCGCCCCAGTCGAACCAGGCCAGCGCCGTCGCCGCGAGCGGCATCCACGCGTCTTGGGCCGCAGCGGCGGGCAACAACACTTGCAGTCACAGCGGCCACGAAGGCCCGCGAGGGCCAGGTCGCGCGCCCGCCCCCGCCCCCAAGGTTCGGGACGCCCGTGCGAAGGAGCAGCACCGCGCCACCCCTCCTTGCGATGCTACAGCGGGGCGGCGGGCTCGCCCCCACGCTGTCTTGGGGCCCCTTGCTCGCCATCGTTCCGGCGGCAGTGGCCAGGGCCGGCAACGTCGTTTGGAGCCAACGTGCGTTCGTCATTTTGAAGGTCACCCCGACCAAGTCAACTCGGAATCTGGGCGAGGGCTGCTAAATCGCGGCTGCTAAAACGGCCCTCCCGGAAGGAAAAATGACCCCAGTGCGACCCTACCTAGAAGTTGGAGCCCCTAGGAAAGCAGCATTAGTTGCTATGCTAGGCTATGATATGCCATGCTATGCTGCGCTATGCTATGCTATGCTATGCTGCGCTATGCTATGCGATGGTATGCTATGCTTTGATATGCTAAGCTAAGCTATGTAATGTTGCGCTGTGCTATGCTGCGCTATGATATGATATGCTATGCTATGCTAAGCTGCGCTAGGCTATGATATGATATGCTAAGCTGCGTTATGTTATGCTGTGATATGATATGATATGCTATGATATGTTATGCTATGTTGCGCTATGCTATGCTACGCTATGCTGTGCTGTGCTCTGTTATGATTTAGCTCAGGGAAGCTAAGATGAAGGTAAACTAAGCTAAGATAAACCTGAGCTAAGATGAAGCTAAGCTATGCTAAGATGAAATAAGTTAAGCTAAGATGAGATAAGCAACGATAAGCTAAAAGGGACGTAACTGTGGGAACCGCGGGGCGGATACCGGGGGAACCGCCTGGGCCGGTTCCCACAGCCCGGCCCCTTTAAGATAGAGAGTAAGAACCCTTCTAAATAGAGCCTAGGTAGGGAACAACTTCCCGGAATGAGGCGCGGCACGCGAAACAGTCAACGGGCTTCTTCCCGGAAGGACGAAGACAATTTCCCGGATATCGATTTTAGCAGCCACGGATTTAGCAACCCTTGCCCGGCTTCCGATCAACGCCGGTTTACGCGAGGGCTTGGAACTGCCGCGGTCTGAATGGACTCACACATTGTCGGACCTCCATGAGTGGTCGGCGCAGTCGCTGTCGGACTTTGCCGAGTTCTCGGGTAAAGCGGCGAAAAGGTGTTAGAGACGTGATCTAGGAGAGATCATTCGTGAGTTCAGGGATTCGACGATTTCAGGCCCCGCTCTCGGAGCGCTGCATCGCGCAATGCGCAAGGGCGCCGCTCCTGCCTTCGAGATATTCGAGGGCTCCGACGCCGCGCACCACCCTCGGGACATCGTCGATTGCAAGGCCAAGCGATGGCATAAGAAGTGGGCCCCACTGATCCCTGTCCCCGGCAAAACTCTTGGGAACGTCTTGAATGATCCTGGAGGCCGTTCGGAATAATCCTGAGCCTTCCCTTGAATTCACGGCCCGTGACCTGAGACGGGACCGTAGGGCCATGAAACCTCACGCCAGCATGGGAGTGGACCGTATCACGCCTTGTAGCATGGAGAGGCTACCAGATGAAGGCCTCGCTGAGCTTGCGTCTGCGCATAAATCAGTGGAGCATCCTTTGGCGTGTCCAGCCCAAACCATGCTGGCTTGCCCCGAAGGAGCTGTCGGGGGACCGGGTGATCTCATCTGATTGCTCGGGCGTTTCTGGAGCGCGCGTTCGGAGCCCTGGGTTCGGTCGTGGTCGCCCCGGTCGGGCCCCACTGGGATGCCGCGGTCAAGGGCAATTCGTCGCTCGCCGAAGCCTTCAGGAGGGTCCTTAATGAAGAGGTGGCGGGGGTGATAGCTATCTCGCATGGGCACTCGCTCGTAGACATCGACGGGTGCTATGACACCATGTGCTGGCTCAAACTTGCCAATGCAGCCCTTCGACTGGAGCTCCGCCCGACAGTATTATCTTGAGATATTCCAGCGCGCACACCCTCACACATTACATCAGATCAATTCGTACTCGCTCGCCTTCAGGCCCACATGCAACATGATTCAAGGATTGAGAGCAGGCACCAGATTTGCCCGAAAGGCTGCCAGCAACAGGTCAAGGGCGACCTCGTCAAGTGCGTCTTGGGGGCGACGAGAGGCCCGTATAAGCATGGGGCTCAAGTTGGCTGGTAATTCAAACATTGCATCCTCGAAGTTTGCGGAGGCTAAGGGCATTGCCCGAGCTCTGCGACTTCGGGGAGTGCTCGTCACGGCGGCCAGGCACGCGGTCTAACTCGGGATTGACATGGGCAGAGGACGGAAGCACCTCAGAACAGAACGGGGGAACAGGAGCGTCCATCAACTGGATCGTCACAAGAAGGTCGCCAAGTACGCGCGGACGGTGCGCAGGTCACAGATCGCCTCGCGTCTCGGACGCCAATGAGCGCAGGCGGCTGGGAGCTACGGCTGCCAGGCGTTCGGAGTGATGTGGCAGGAGCTGGCCAGTTATAGGCGCAGGTGGGGGGGCGGCTTGCCACTGCAAGATGAAAGGCAGGTGCCTCGCGAAGATTCACGTACCACAACTTCTCCATGTGGCTCAGACAGTGGCAGGCACATCCAAGGACTCGTGCTAGCATCCTCAAGGCCTGGCCTAAACTTCGCCAAAATCTTGAAGCTGTCCCTGCTGCACAACGGTCCAGACAGGTTCGAGGGCGCATGGGTACGATTCTGGCGCACTTGCTAGATTGTCCGATGGGTGTCGAGATCGCCGACGGCCTGGGGCCCCCTCTGGGGACAGCTGCTGGCAATTCCCCGACTCGAACTTCACCGGAATCGAAGCCGTCGTTTACGCCAGTTTCTATGAGCTCTGGGAGAAGTCAAAGACGCAGCGAAGAACCCGTTCGGGAAAGGGGCAGAGCAACACTTTGATGGTGAGGGGCGCAAGGATGGAGCGGACAGCTATTCGTACCGACGTTACTTCAAGAATTGACCCATGTTCGCCCTGCTGGCAAACGTTTGGCACGTGATCTTCTTTGTGTTGCTGTTGGTGGCTCGTGGACCAAGACACGGAAAGCGGATTTATGTGTACCCGTCGTCGGCGGCAGGTTCGAATGGCGCAGCTCGGCTTGACATTTGTGACCGATGCGGCGAACGCAGGGAGACTTCTCATCACAATTTCTGGGCGTGTCGCTGCAACACGGGATCGGAGGCGTACGCGAGAGGTGAGTGTCTGGCGGCCAAGGCTGGCAGTCAGCACGAGCAAGAACCATGCTTTTGGCACCGCGGGTTCATTCCTAAGCAGTGGACTGTCATTCCTAGCCCGGTCATGCCTAGTCCATGTGGTTTGACTCCGGCTAGGACTTGCGTGATCGGATTCTTCCAGACCTTTAACTACTTTCTCGCGCTTCGCGCGAGGGCGGCTAGGCGTCGTACAGCCTGCTCGCCTTCAATACCTACGCCGACGACTGGGAGATCGACGGACTGAACGATGGCCTTTGTCCCAGGGTGCCTTCCGATCGGTACCGAGACGTCTGTATTTGGCGGTACCAGCGAGGGGGCTGACACTGCGGACCCGAGGCTGCGTCGAGTTGCTGTGGGCATCGCAGTCATCAATCAGTATCAGTCAGTTGAGGTGGATTGTTATGTGCTTGGTGGGTTGGTGGGCCCCCGTCAGACAGTGGCACGTGGCGAATTGAACGCGCTGTGGCCTCACAGCATTCGCAGCCAATGGGATCACGGTCGTCACCACGGATTGGAAGTCTGTCTTCGATGGCTGGACCACTGATAAGTATCTCAACCCTACTGGCGTCGACGCGGATATCTGGACTCGTATGGGAGTTTTTTTCAAAGAGAAGGATTCCAGCACAATACGAGTGTGCTTCGTCCACTCGCACCTCGACGGGGAGGCGATTGTTTCACGGTAAAGCGGAGTTGTGGCAAGTTCAAGGCAACACGGTCATCGACACCCTGGCGTGACGAGCGGCCCTCGAACTACGAGGGCCAGCTGCCGACCGACATCGGCTTCACGAGGTCGAACAGCAAGCATAATTACCTCGTGCGGCATCGGCTGCTACGTGCGACTCTAGACTGCTTCCAGGCGGGAGAGACTCTGAGAAAGAATGAGGCCTCTCCTCCTCGTCCTCCTCCTCCTCCTCCTCCTCCTCCTCCTCCCCCTCTTCCGCCCACAGAGTCTGTCGCTACCAATTTCGCCACCAGCCACTCCTTAGACGAAGGGAGCCTTGGTTGCCTGAGATGCTTTGGAAGAGCCACGCTGGCCACGGCTAATCAGTGGAAAGCGAGTCCGCGTTTCAAACCCATGTGTCTAACCGATCGGTATCACACTAAGCCTAGTGGTGATAAACTCCACTTAGCGGGGGGCTGGGTCCATTGTAGTCACAGGATGAATGTGTGTTCCGCTCAGAAGCTGTGGTTCTGTAAGGTGTGTGGCTCTTTCTCCAGCAAGAGCTCCGTAAACCATGTAGATTGCGAGCCACACCAACAGGGGTTGAGTATTTGAACCGAAGTGGCCGAGGTTTACGGCGCAAAGTCCAGGGCCGAGTTGGCCGCCCGTCAGGGGTCTGTGCGGCCCTCCCCGCAGGTGTAAAGCATTTCTCGCGCAGCGAACTGACATTCCCACTCCCGTTCCCCCCTCCCCCCTGCGCCTCCAACCCATCGAACTTCCCTGCTCCCAGCCCCCGCTCTCCTCCCCACCTCCCATCCTCACCTCGCCCTCCCACCACCCAAGCGCTGAGCCCGGGGCTTGACCTCCAGGGAGAGGACGAAGCTGTGGCCCCACAGCAGCAGCCTGTGAGGAGCACCGCGGGGGGCGGCTATGCCGCAGATGCGAGCGTGGGGCGCCAAGATCCGGTCGGGCACCCGCGGGGTCACCGCGAAGCCGGCCGCGAAGGCCTGCTACCGCGGTCGGCTGGCGGACCGAAAGGCCAGGGGTCGGGGGGTGCTAGGGCTCCCAACTTCGCGCTTCGCGCTCCGCGAAGCGCGAATAACTTCGCGCTCTCGCGCCGCCCCCCCCCCCAAAGGGAGAAAAGGAAGACGAGGGGGAGAAGGAACGAGGACCGCGAAGCGCGAAGCGCGAATAACTTCGCGCCCTCGTGGGAGCCCTTTGGGTTGCCACAGGTGCTCCTGGTCAGGGCTGGCCCCAGCTCTTCGCGCCATCCCTGGGGCCCCCCCCGGGGGCCCTCAGCCTCGCGAGGGGTGCCCTGGGCCTCCCCGGAGAAGCCGCGCCGCCGGGGGGGGGGGGGCACCTCTGGCAACACCCGAAGAGGGGCGGGGGGGGGCCCAGGACGGCCTGGCGGGCCTGCAGGCCCCGAGGGAGGGCAGGAAGCAGCCAGACATCGGCGAACTCTCTGCCCTCGGGGGCGGGGCCTTGCCCAGGGGCCTACGGAGACGCCCGGCGTCGCGCCCTCGCGCCGCCCTCCACCCCGGGGAACGAGCGGCCCTCGGGCCCCGAGCGCGGCGCGCGAGGCGCCATTCGTCTTCGCGCCCCCGCAGGCGGCCCAGGCGAGGAGGGCTCGCCCGGTCGCTCTGCTGGACCCCTCCAGCGGGTGGCCCCCTGGGGTTACGTCGGGCCTGTCCCCCTGCACGGGGATGTTCGACGAAAAAAATTACAACAAAATCCCCCTAAAATACTCCAAAATGATCAAAAAGATACTCAACAGAATAGTCCCCAGACTATTGTTGGACTATTTTTGAATACTCCCCCTGTAGAGAGACAGGCCCGGCTCAACCTGGGGGGGTGCAGGGGGCACAGCCGACCACGGGCCTGCTCCTCCACGTCGAACGCAACGATGCGGTGCGTGGAGAGCGCCAGCACCAGGTTCCTGCCGCGGGCGTCGAAAGCCAGGGCCGTGGTGCGCCCCTCGGCGCTGCCGGCGGGCACCCTGGTGTGGGGCAGCATGCTGTCGAGGCTGAACACGTGCGCGGCGCCAGACGTGTCCGCGGAGGCCAGCCACTCCTTGGTCGCGGCCAAGTGGGAAACGGGCGCGTCGTGCTCGGCGATGGTGGCCACCACCTCCATCCGCTTCGCGTCGAGCAGCAAAACCTCCGGATCAGCCCAGAGAGAGGCGAAGGGTACGCCCGTTGCGGCGAGGACGACGGGGCGGGGGGGGGCGACCCTGAGCTTCGCTGCGGAAGGCACTGAAGGCGGACCCAGGCGCCAGCCAACCGAGCTTCGGACGAGGAGGAGGACGCAACGGCCATCCAGCCAATGTCCGTCTAAAGCTATAGGAGGAGAGAGGCGACGCGGGGGAAGAGCAAAGCGAGGATTCAGGAACGACGAACGGGGCGAGAAGGAAGAGGACGACGACGGAGATGATGAGGAGGACGAGGACAAAGAGAAAGGGGAGGAGGGAGGGAGGTCACAATGATCGACTTTTAGTACAGGCAGGGGCTGCAGGCCAGGACATCGATCTGGCGTTGTCGACTTCTTTGCCAAGTCGCGCTTCTGGGACAGCCAGCGTCCTGTGCCAGCTGATACCCTCGGAAACCTTCCCTGAGCCGTCCAGACGTCAGGATGTCTCAGAAGCGGAGTGGTGGTCGTCCCTCCTCGCTCCTGCTCCTGGGTCCCCACCCCCGGCCCTCCACCCCCTCGTCGTCCTCACTCGTCCCCTTCTCTATTGTTCTCCCCCCCATGCGGGTTCTGCGGGTACTCAAAGAGCGAAACACACTGTGCACAACACACCTGTACGCACTAGCCCCATGCGACGTCGGCCCCGGCCGTGCGCGGGGAAGCAATGTACACGCTCGCGCAATCATTTGGCTCACAAGTCGACCCCTGCCTAAGAGCACTCTGCGCCCCGAATTACCCACACGGCAGAAAACGACAGGGAACAAATTCCCACTCCACAACCCACGCAATACGGAGACCATGCCTGAAATGGCCAGGCTGCCTCAAAACGCGTCAAATGGATGCGTTCACGGTTGGGCACGGAATCGCAATGAGCGCTGGACCAATCTTGGGGCAGCAGCTAAACCTCCAGTGATCGATGTGCGAGTCAGGGATGCGTGGAGGTTTCTGCCACCGCGGGGAATCGCAAATCCCGTTGCCAACTCTCCAAACAGTGATGCAGGCGGGGAGCAAGATGGCATGGATTCCCCCACACCCAAGAAGAATTCGCTAACTGTTGGTAAACACGGAATGTACGGTGCAAGTTGGATCGACTTCATGAGTTCGGGCGCCTAGGCCGGCGAGCCACTCGGCAGCGACATGTCCTAGGATGTCTGGGCGATCTGCTTCACTGGTGAACCCCTCGGGGCGGGGAACTCACTCCGTGGAACCCCACGAGCCCTTGAGGCGTGAGTGGCTTAAGGAGATGGTTCCGCAAACCCCCTTCTCCCCCTTCTGCGAGGGGGGCCCCACTCCCCGTACCCCCTACCCCTGAGTCTGGAACCCTCCCCCCGCGAGATGTCAGAGGGTCCTTTCTAGCACCACCTGGCAGTTTGGAAAGCACGAGCAGCAGAGCCAACCACCGCCAAGGCGAATCAGACCCCAAGAAGTTGGAGGCCAGGGATGACTGAGGCTGACCGCTGGCAGCGGGCTCCGAGTCGATGGAAGGAGGACGGAGCAAGACGAAGCCTCCAGGGGTACCAGCAGGCCTCTGGAAGTCCCCGTGACTCCGGAGGCACCCGTGGGCCTCCCTACGTCCCTGGAGGCCTCGAGAGCCTTCCGGAGGCCCTGGAGGCTCAAAAAGGATCGCATATATCCCAAACATTCGCTCCGCGAAACTCAAGCCTCCTTTTTCCTCCTCCTCCTCCTCCTCCTCCTCCTCCTCCTCCTCCTCCTCCTCCTCCTCCTCCTCCTCCTCCTCATCCATTCCTTATCCTTATAAACAACGTCTCCCTGTCGCACCCCGAGGACAGTTTTTAGGGCGGGCCGGTCGATTCACCTGAGACTGCCTCAGCACTCATCACCGTGAAACCCTGAAGCCAACATAAACATTGGCAAGAGCTTCACAGATGGACGGCGGGGGGGGTCCAAAATGTGGATCTGGCCTTAGCGGCGCGCGCAGTCGTTTCAACAATTTACGGAGTATCACCAGTGGAGGGCGGGTCGTTTTCGAAATGGCCTTAGCAACGCGCACATTCGCTTTAAACATGTGCAAGAATTTTCCACATGGAGGGCGGGTGGTCTCCGAAATGTGGTTCTCGCCTCAGCGCCGCGCACTTTCGTTTTAAGAAATTAAAAGAGCTTCATGGATAGAGGGCGGGTGCTTTTCAAAATGTGGCTCTCGCCTTCGCGCCGCGTACATTCGCTGTAAGAATTTGCAAGAGCTTGACGGATTGAGGGCGGGTGGTTTTCAAAAGGTGGTTCTCATCTAAGCGCCGCGCACATTCGTTTCACAAATTTGCAAGAGCTTCACGGCTTGAAGGGAGGTTCCTTTTCAAAATGTGGTTCTCGCCTTAGCGCCGAGCACATTCGCTTGAAGAAATTGCAAAGAGTTTCACGGATTGAAGGCGGTGCCTTTTCAAAATGGGGCTCTCGCCCTTAGCGCCGCGTACATGTTTTGCTATCTTATACAAAAGAACATGTTAAACGTACCAGAAATGTATCTGGAAATATTCAAGATTCTGAGGGCGCAAAAGTTACGTTGATTCGCCGTGTTGAAGTCCCTGGAATGGCGTTCTGGCACAACTCAGCATCGTCAAGACGCAACAATCAGGTTGATCCGTGGCGTTGGAATCACGAGAACAATGTTTGGCATGCTCCAAGGGGGTTTCGTTTAGCGTGTATGGTCAGGGAGTGGAGGTACACGCTAAACAAAATTCTCTATAGCGCGATCTGGTAGTAGTTCGTTTAGCGTGATCCGTTTTGAGTGCCATTCTCGTTTAGCGTGATCTGGACATTTCGTTTAGCGTGATCCTTTTTGATGGGACCATTTTCGTTTAGCGTGATCTGTGAATTTTGCCTGGTGGGCACGGGCTCCGGCCCGGAGTGTAACGCGGATCGGGGCCCCAAGATGCGGCCTTATCTTTCATCTGCAGTCCGTCGCGAGACTGTGCTGGCCCTGCCTCCAGCAGGGAGGGCAGCTCGGCTCCGGGCCCCACCCGAGATCTGATGTAAAAAGGGCTCCAGACGGTTCCAAGGCAGTCCAGGATGGCCCCGACAGCCAGCCAGAACGGCTCAGGAGGGCCCCAAGGTGTACGTAGCCCAAGATGGCTGCAGCAGACGCCCAAGACGGCCCAAGAGAACGCCAGGAAGGTCCAATAAGCTCCCAGGACATCTCAGAATGGCCCAGAAGGCCCCCCAAAACGATCCAGAAGGGCCCGACTCGCGCCCAGGATAGCCCAAGGAGGGCTTTCAGGGAGGCCCACCGCGACCCAGGAGAGCACCCGCCAGTCGGGGGGGGGGGGGGCGGGCGGGGGAGAAGGGAGCGAAAAGCAGGTGCGCGCTGCAGGAGGGGCGGGGACCAGGTCAGCTCCAGTAGGGGGGGGCAGGACGGCTCAGGGCTCCAAGAGGTGACGTCAAGATGGCCCCAGAGGATTCCAAGACAGCCCAGGATGTCTCTAAGAGCAGCTCAGGACGGCCCAAGAGCGCGACCGCGTTCCCAAAAGAAGGCCCGACAAGGCTTCCAGAGAGGCCCAGGACGAACCAAAGGAGGAGGCCCAAAAGACCGCCAAGACAGCCCAGGAAGGCACCGGTTGCAGCACAAAACGTCCCCAAAGGGCTCCAAGAGCGCTAGAGATACCTCGACCCAGCAATGCACTCGCCAGGTGGGGGGCCAGGAGGGGAGGGGCGGCGAAGGGCATGCTCGCGCTGGAGGGGTGGGGGGGGGGGCAGGTACACGCTCCACTGGCCCCAACTCCAACAGAAGAAGCACAACGGCGAAGAATTCCAAGAGGTGACAACAAGAGGACCCCGCTCAAAGAAGGCCCAACAGAGCTTCCAGAGAGGCCCAGGACGGCCCAGGGGAGCCCCAGGCCCAAAAGGCGGCCAAGGCAGCCCAGGATGGACCCAATTGCTACCCCAAACGGGCCAAAATATCCCCCAAAGCGCCCAAAATTGCCCAAGAGGGCGTTCAGGGAAACCCAGCGCGACACCACGAGAGAGCCAGCCAGGTAGAGTAGGGGTGCGGGAGGGGCGGTGGGCAGGTGCGACACTGGCCCTGACTACAGCAAGGGGGGCAGGACGGCTCAAGATTCCAAGAGGTGATGTCAAGAGGGCCCCATAGAGTTGTACGTGCGTAAGACAGTTCTGTATGGCTCCAGGAGCAGCCCAGAACGGCCCAAGAGGGCCCGGAGTTCCACAAAGAAGGCCCAACAGGGTTTCCAGAGAGGCCCAGGACGGCCCAGGGGAGCTCCAAGAAGGCCCAACGTGCAGCCAAGACAGCTCAGGATGGCCCCGTTTACTACCCTAAACGGGCCAACATTGTCCAAGAGGGCCTTCGGGGAGGCCCAGCGCGACCCGACTGAGGCGGGAGGGGCGGGGGGGGCAGGGACACGCTACACGGGCCCGGGCTCCAGCAGGGAGGGCGAGACGGCTCAGGGCTCCCAGAAGTGACGTCAACAGGGCCCCATCGAGCAGCCCAGAACGGCCCAGGAGGGCCCGGAGCACCCCGAAGAAGGCCCAACAGGCTTCCAGAGAGGCCCAGGACGGCCCAGGTGAGACCGACCCAAGAAAGCCCAACAGGCTGCCAAAACCGCCAAGACAGCCCAGGATGGCCCGGATTGTTGCCCAAAACGGGCCAAACTGGAACCCACAGCGCCCAAATTGCCCAAGATGTCCATCAGGGAGGCCCAGCGCAGCCCCAGGGGGGGGGCCGGAGGGGCGGGGGAGGGCAGGTACACGCTACACGGGTCCCGACTCCAACAGGGAGGGAGGACGGCTCAGGGCTCCCACAGACAGCGTCAAGAGGACCCCATGGAATTGTAAGCCAGCCCAGGGTGGGTCCAGGAGCAGCCCAGAACGGCCCAGGAGGACCTGGAGCACCCCGAAGAAGGCCCAACAGGCCGCCACGACCGCCTGCCAAGACAGCCCAGGATGGCCCAAATTGTTGCCCGAACAGACCAAATTGGTCTCCAAAGCGCCCAAGATTGCTCGATAGGGCCATCAGAGAGGCCCAGCGCAGCCCCAGGGGGGGCGGGAGGAGCGGGCCCAGGAGGGCCCCGAGCACCCCGAAGAAAACCGAACAAGGCTTCCAATCCCCCAGGACGACCCAGGGGAGCTCAGGCCCGAAAGGCCGCTAAGACACCCCAGGATGGCCCCGATTGCTTCACAAAACAGCATGGTCCCCAAATCGCCCAAGATTGCCCAAGAGGGCCTTCAGGGAGGCCCAGAACGACCCCTGGGGGGGGGGCCGGAGGGGCGGGGAGGGGGCAGGTACACGCTATACGGGCTCAGAACTCCCAGAGGTGACATCCAAAGAAGGCACCATAGTGTTGAAAAAAACCAAAGAGGGGTCCAGGAGAAGCCCAGAACGGCCCAGAAGGGCCCCGAGCGCCCCAAAGAAAACCGACCAGGGCTTCCAAAAAAAACCAAGGACAGCCCAGGAAAGCTCCACGAAGACCCAAAAGGCAGCCAAGACAGCCCAGGATGGCCCCAACAATACATGGCTCCCAAGTCCCAACTGGGGCGGGACGGGCGGGGGGCGCAGGCACACGCCACACGGGCCCCGGATCCAGCAGGGGGGGCAGGACGGCTCAGAGCCCCCAGAGGTGACGTCAAGAGGGCCCCGTAAAGTTGCAAGCCAGCCCAGACACGGTCCAGGAGCAACCCAGGACGGCCCAGGAGGGCGCCGATGACCCCAAAGAAAACCGAACAGGGTGTCCAGAGAGGCCCAGGACGGCCCAGGGGAGCTCCAACAAGACCCAACAGGCAGCCAAGGCAGTCCAGGACGGCCCCGATTGCTACCCCAAACGGGCCCAAATTGCCCCCAAAGCGCCCAAAATTACCCCAGAGGGCGCCCAGGGAAACCCAACGCAACCCCCGGGTGGGGGGGGGGCGCGAGGGGGGCAGGCACGCGCTATGCGGGCCCTGTTTCCAGCCGGGGGGCAGAGCGGCTCGGGGCTCTCAAAAGCAATGTCCCATGACCCCGTACAATCGTGAGCCAGCCCAGCCCAGAACGGCCCAGGAGGGCTCCGAGCGCCCCAAAGAAGGCCCAATAGAACTTCCAGAGAGGACCAGGACGGCCCAGAGGAGCTCCAAGAAGGCTCAAAAGGCTGCCAAGACAGCCCATGATGGTCCCGATTGCTACCCCAAACGAGCTAACATGACCCCCAAAGCGCCCAAGATTGCCCAAGAGGACTATCAGGGAGGCCCAGCGCGACCACAGGGGGAGCGGGGGGCGCGAGGGGGCAGGCACACGCCACGCGAGCCCCGGGGCTCCTGCTGAGGGGGGCAGGACGTCCCGGGGCCACAAGAGGCGACGTCCAGAGGGCCCCCGAAACATACACGGCAGCCCTGGATGGCTCCAGGAGCAGCCCCGAGAGGGCGATGGCCCCGAGCACACCCAGGGAAGCCGAACAAGATTTCCAGCCAAGCCCAGGGCGGCCCAAGGGGGCCCCCAGAAGCCCCAGAAGGCCGCCAAGACAGCGCGGCCCCGATTGCTGTCCCGATCGAATCCAAATTGCTTCCAAATCGCCCAAGATTGCCCGAGAAAGCTTTCGGGTAGGCCCAACGCGACCCCGCGGGCGTCGGGGGGGGGCGGGGTGCAGGCGCGCGCCATACGGGCCCTGGACCCAGCAGGGTGGGGCAGGGCGGCCCAGGCTCCAAGGTGCGACGTCAAGAAGGCCTCATAAAACTGCAAAGCAACCCTGGATGACCCCAAGAGCAACCCGGAACTGCCCCGGGGGGACCCCGAAGAACGCCCAACAGGGCTTCCAGAGAAGAAGCCCAGGACGGCCCAAGGGAGCTCCAAGAAGGCGCGAAAGGCCACCCATCAGCCCTGGACTGCTCCGATCGCTGCCCAGAACGGGCCGAAATGGCACCCGGGGTGCCGAAGATTGCCCGCGAGGGCCCAGGCTTCAGCAGGGGGGGGACGGCCCAGGGCTCCAAAAGGTGATCCATAGGATCTTGTAGATGCGCAACCCTCTGCGACTCGTCGATCTCCCGGTAGTCGGGGGCGACTCCGAAAACTGCGCCACCGCAGCCGATGGTCTCTGGCGCCGCAACCGTCGAGCCCCTGGCAGGCGGGCGCATGGGCCTCGTGGCCGGCGCAGCTCGCGACCCGCGAACTTCCGCGAGCATCTTCACCGCCGCGACTCTGGCCCGCAGACTCATTGGCCACGCCCTCTGGCGCGAGGGGGCCATCGCGCCGCTGCTGGCGCATGCCCGAAGCGCCTGGCCCTCGCCCCGACCCAAGGCCAAGATGCACGGCCGCTTGCGCCGGCATTTCGGGGGAGCCCATCTCGCAAGCGCCTTGCCAAGAGCCGCTTCCGCCCGAGGTCTGCGCGCACTCCGCCGTCGCGCGCACCCGCCTCGAACCGCGCGCGCAGCGCGTCCACCGGGGGCCCGCGCCCGAGACCAGCGCGCCGAGCCTCTCCAACGGGCGACCGCAGTCCTCCGCGCGCAGCTGCCCGGCCGTCTTGCCCCGCGACGGGGCCTAGCCCTTGCCCGCGTCCGCTGGTTGGAAGAGCGGGGCATAGCACTCCTTCGGCCTGCCCTTCGGCGCCTGCCCCTGCTGCCTGTCCAAATCCTCCTTGGCGACCGCGCGCGACGGAGGAAGCTGTCGCTCGATCGTCTTCGCGCATTCGCCCCGCAACTTGCCCCAGCGCCCCACTGCCGACGTCTGGCTGATCACCCGCGCCGCCGCGCACGGGCGAAGCCGCGCCCGCCGCCAAACAGCGCGGCAAGCACCGCCGATGCGCCTCGCCGGGCTGCGAGGGGCGGCCGCGCCGCCCCCCGCCGCCCTGCCGGCCCTCGGCCCGTGAGCGTCGAAGGCCCCCTGGCGATTCCGCGCCAGCATGCCCAGTCGATGCGGAAGGCGGACGCGGAATCACTGGCAGCTCGCTCCGCGTGGTCCGAGCGCGGCATCGGGCCCCTCGACGTTCTGTGCTCCTCTGGCGCGATGGCCTTCTTGCTTGCACTAGCTCGCCGCCGGGCTCCCGGGGCCCGCCCTGGGTCGCGGCGCGCAGGGGCTCGGCCTCGAAGGCCCCCCGGGGCTTCTGCCATCAGGAATTCTGGGCGATAGCCCCTGAGCCGCTCCGCTCGGCAACCTCGGGGGCGTTCTGCTCGTTGTCATGGGTGTTCCGCTGGTAATTATCTGGGAGGTCATGCACGCCATTATGGATGTTATGCAAGTCAGCCCCCGGGCCGTTCGACCTGCTATCATCTGGGACGTTCTGCATGCTATCATACGGGATGTTTTGATTCGGCCCATTTGGCTTGGCTCGCGCCCACGCTCTGGCTTCGCCGGGCCCATCTGCAGCATTGAACCGATCGGGCCGCGGCGGGGCGATGGCGGACTGATGCGGCGATGTCTACACTCTCGGAGTCGCTAGGCTGGCCCCAGATCACCGGCGCCGAAGGAGGTCGCGCGGCCTCGCCGAAGCTCGGCGAGCAGTCGAGACACGCCAGGGGGCCACTCATAGAAGATGGCATTCTGGATCACGTCGCAGCACGTCACCTCCGTCTTGCGGACCCTCTGCAGACGCTCGACGTCAGGCCCCAGGCACGACTCCGAAGCCGCGTAGAGCGCCCGCCCGAGCTTCGCGCGGGCCTTGGCCCACGCACGATCGAACTCGGCCCAATTGTCGCACCGCGAGCGCCCGCTGCTCAGCAGCTCGGCCCCGTGAACCAGGTTCCACGTCTTAGGCTGCTCCACCAAGGCCTTCGTCGTCCGCTGCTCTGGCTCGTCTGAGCCCGCCCACTTGCCCCGGTGGGGCTCCTCGTCCACCGCGTAACACTAGTCCGCTTCGTCGTGGGGCCGCGCTCATCTACCAGCCCTCGCCGAACTCCTTCACCGAGATCCCCCAGCGGCTCGTGGACATCGGCCAAATCTTCGCCTCGACCTCGAACTCGCGGCTCAAGAGCGCGCCGCGGTCGAAGTCGCACGCGCCCCTGAGACCGTTCACCAGGCTCACCGGGAACAGCAACCGCACCTCCTGGCCCGCGGAGTCCGCGACCGCGCGCGCCGCCACGATCCCGCCGACGCCGCCAACGCCGATCGGCATGTCCACCGCGACGATCAGCTTCGCCCAGCCGCCGACCCAGCCGCGCGACGCGACTGGCGGGGCCAGCGTCTCCTTCGGCATGAGCCACAGGCCCCTCAGCTGCCCCTCGCGCCCCTTGCGCGCGATCCGGCCGCAGCACCCGCCCTGCGCACGACGGCCCATCAGCGCAAAACCCTCGGTCGCGAGCAAGCCCGCCCACGGGCTCGACAGAGCCGCGAACGCAGAGGCCCCGAAGGTCGCCCGCTCGGCCGGGGTCGCCATCGCGAGCTGGAACAGCGGCACTGCAGCAGGCGCCGCGGCGAAGAAGCCCCCTCGACGTCCAAATTGTCACCCGCCGCCGGGTCGCCCGGGGCGACGGCGCGACGCGCGCCCGAGCTCGCCGCCGCGAAAGCACCTTGTCCTAGCCAAGATCTCCAAGGACGAGCCTCTCGCGATCTCGTCGCCGACCCGGCCCTTGGAAGGCGCCCGCGCTCCTTTCCGCTCGCCCTTGCCCTTGCCCTTGTCTCTGCCCTCGCTCGGGCTGAAGAGGCCTCGCCCCGTCTCGCTGGCCGCCAGTGCCATTCGATTCGCGCGACGCGACTTGGCCCAGGCCGCCAGGTAAATCGACTCTTCCCCCGCGCACTCGGCCATGGGATCGAACGGGATCGGCGTCTCCCCGCTCTCATTCACCAGCCACTCGCCGTCGTCACCAATCTCCATCTGGCCCTCCTCCTCAGCTCCCCCCTCGTAGTACGCGATGGCGCCGTCGCCCGCGGGGTCAGCCACGTCGCTGGAGGAGCCCCCGCCGCTGTCGGACATCGGGAACACGCCCAGCCGCTTGGAATTCTTCTGCTGCGGCAGGGCGAAGGCGAGGATCGTATCTGGCCTGTCCTATCTTCCCAGCGTCTCAATCACTCGCGTTAGATCCTAGGTGCCCTGCGTCCACGCGCGGCGCCTGCGTCTTTGCTCTTCACACAGCTGGGCGTCACCGCGACACCACTAGGCCGCTCCAGCAGCTCCCACAGCTCGGGTTGCTCTCACAGCCTGGGTTGCCCCCTCGCCAGGTGCTGCGCCATGACGGGACCCTTCTCGCGATCACCCTGGAGGATCGCATCCTTGACCGAGACCTCCAGATCTATCTCCAGGTACGCCACGTACGCCAACTTGCTCTGGGCGATCACCGCGCCCCAGCCCTGCTCGCTCATGAAGGCCGATGCCAGCGCCTGGCCTGCCGCGACCTTCATCTCGGAGCCGATCGCAAGAGATTTGAACAACCTTGCACCATGCTCACGACCTGGGACCATGGCGTCACGCTTCGATATCGCCAGCGACCTCAGCCACGGCCTCAGGTTAGCCATCGGGTTCTCCCCACTCCACGAGGGCACAGGGTCACGACCCTTGTCGCTCATGTCCTGCTCGCGTTGCTGCGGCGGCTGTCGCCAGCCCCGCAAGGCGTCCCGCGCGCCCTGGTTGGCCGGCGGCGCGGCCGCGGCCGGCGCCGTTGGCGGGCCCGCTGGGGCCGCCGGCGCCAGCGCGGCGGTCGCCGCCGTGGCGGCCGCCCGCGGGTCTGGGGCCGCCCACGTCGGGGGCGGGGCGCCCGGTGACGTCGCAGCGGCAGCGCCCGCCTGCGCCTGGCCGCACCACGGCGGCGCCACACATCCGCACACCGCCATCGGCGCACCGCCCTGCGGGAACCCCGGCGCCTGGCCACATCGGCCATCCACCCAGCCACGACGTTGGCGCCGGCGCGGCTGGCGGGGGCGGAGCCACAGCGGCCGCAGGGGCGGTCGGCGGCGGCGGCGGCTAGGCTGCCACGCCCGGCACTATCCGCACTCCGTTCTGCCGGGTTCCAACGTCAGCCACGCTAGAAGGCCGAGCACAAACGAATTCACATTAGTTTCGAAATTGTCGGGGGAAACCTGCATTGCTTTAGCGCTCTCGAACGCCAGACGAGCTGGTTCGCCTTGTTCCCCAGCTTACACGGGTCCGCGCTCAGCGAACCTCTGATATGCTGCTCGAAAGGTATGTCAACCACGCTCTGCGCTACCACTGAACACCACAACAACAATATTCACGGTGACGACAGTCTCTTCAACAACCGACGCTCGGCAAACAATGCCCGAACCTCAAGCCAAAATGTTTACGGAAATTGCCCCAGCAAAGCAACCTAACAGCGATGTGTTGGAGCACATCTGGAAGCAATCCCCTTAAGATTCAAATGAGAATCCTGTTGTAGAATTCTGCTGTTCTCGCAGTCGTAGTCGAATTCGCAATGGCAGTCGCAGTGGCAACGGCAGTCGCAGTCACAGCCTCAGCCTCAGCCTGCCTCAGCCTCAGCCTCAGCCTGCCTCAGCCTCAGCCTGCCTCAGCCTCAGCCTCAGCCTGCTTCAGCCTCAACATCAGTATGCTTCAGCCTCGGCCTCAGCCTCAGCCTGCCTCAGCCTCACCCTGCATCAGCCTCAGCCTCAGCCTGCCTCAGCCTCAGCCTCAGCCTGCCTCAGCCTCAGCATCAGCAGCCTCAGCCTCCTGCCTCAGCCTCAGCCTCAGCCTGCCTCAGCCTCAGCCAGCCTCAGCCTCAGCCTGCCTCAGCCTCAGCCTGCCTCAGCCAGCCTCGCCTCAGCCTCAGCCTCAGCCTGCAGCCTCAGCCTGCCTCAGCCTCAGCCTGCCTCAGCCTCAGCCTGCCTCAGCCTCAGCCTCAGCCTGCTTCAGCCTCAGCCTCAATCTGCCTTCAGCCTCGGCCTCAGCCTCAGCCTGCCGCAGCCTCAGCCTGCATCAGCCTCAGCCTCACCTTCAGCCTGCCTCAGCATCAGTCTGCCTCAGCCTCAGCCTCAGCCTGCCTCAGCCTCAGCCTCAGCCTGCCTCAGCCTCAGCATCAGTCTGCTTTCAGCCTCGGCCTCAGCCTCCGCCTGCCTCAGCCTCAGCCTGCATGAGCCTCAGCCTCAGCCTCAGCCTGCCTCAGCCTGCCTCTGCCTCAGCCTCAGCCTGCCCCAGCCTCAGCCTCAGCCTCAGCCTGCTTCAGCCTCAGCCTCCGTCTGCCTTCAGCCTCGGCCTCAGCCTCAGCCTGCCTCAGCCTCAGCCTGCATCAGCCTCAGCCTCAGCCTCAGCCTGCCTCGGCATCAGCCTGCCTCAGCCTGCCTCAGCCTGCCTCTGCCTCAGCCTCAGCCTGCTTCAGCCTCAGCCTCAATATGCCTTCAGCCTCGGCCTCAGCCTCAGCCTGCCTCAGCCTCAGCCTGCATTGTCACGGGATGGGCAGGCCAGGCGCACAACAAAGGAAGTGAGGGAAGATAAACTTGCTTATCAGAACGCCTCGCGGAACTCTCCTGGTGACTCGAGAGAGTCGCACCCTAAGCCAAAGTGGCTATGAGACATGGTCGAGCACGAAGAGGGGGGAATGGAATGGGCGGGGGGGCTCCATCGGGACCCATTGGATGACAGCGGGCCCAACTTCAACGGGCTCGACACTGTCACACAGGCTGGCTCCATTCGGGAGACGTGCGGATCCCTCTCGCCCCTCCTACCCGCGTGCTTCTCGCGCCTCTCCTCCTCCTGCTTCTCTGAGCTTCCCTTCTCATATTCCTGCTCTCCGGTCATGTTCTCCTCCTTCTCCTCCTCCTCGGGGCCCGCGAGGGCACCGGGCAACCTTCTCGACTCCTCCTCGCGCTCTTTCTGAGAGGCTTCGCCCAGCATGGCTCTGCGACTGGCGCCTCGGGATCTCGACTTCAGTGCCTGATTCAATGAGCGCTCATCTAGATGACCCTCCACCTCCACCAGACATAACGTGCCCCTACACAAAAGGTCCGCCAGGGCCAGATTCGACCTCCCGGGGTCTGAGTGAGCGAGGGGGTCAGCCAGCATCCTGCCAAGAGGAAGCCGCCTTACTTGGGCCCCAGTGGCCGAGAGGGAATCCCAAATGACGGCGAGCTCGACAGCGCTGCGACGGTCTTGCCTGGATCCAGCAGCGCCCCTCGAGAGCGCGTCAAAAACTGATGTTGCGTCGACCGCGGCCAGCTGGGCAGCGCGCTCTCTCAAATGGCAGCCGTTGGACATCACAACCGAAAACGGGGGAGCTCCTAGGTTCCAGTTAGGACGGCCCACGCCCCCGTAAACGCAGTCCCCCCAAAGAACCTGGAGCCACTGGGCCTCGGCGATGGCCCCGCTGAGGGCCAGAGTTTCAGCGGCAACGGCGGAGCTCATCACGCGCTTGAGTCTCTGGGAACGCCACGACAGCACAGAGACCCGGGCCAGACGGTTGGCGCGGATTGAAGCATCGGCGGCCATCACAATCCAGGCCCCCTGGGAGCCGCCCCGGCTCGCGGACCCCGGACCAGAAGCGTCCGAAGCGGCCGCAAAAACAACCGAGTGGGGGCCCAGGGGCCAGATCGTGATCTTCTGGGCGGCCGTGGATTTCCGGCACTTACAGACTGAGGATAACCAAATGAGCACGCATGGCGCCCGCGAGGATAGAGGCGGCGCCAGCAACGTCTGGCCTGGATTCTCGGGCAAGCCACTGCACCTGAGTGACTACAGCACGGTGAGAGCGAATCTCAGCGGGAGCGAAGGGAGCGCCCAGATCAGCCTTACGAGAGCGATCGAGGGGCATCACGGTCAACTGTTCTCTAACGTATTTTTCTTGACCGACGACGATACGATCGGGGAGTTGCTTTATATGGCGCCCAGCGAAATCCGATTCTCTCTCTTTCCATTTTCCGAATCTGAAGCGCGAAGTGGCACGCTCCCGAAAGCTCTCCAAGAAACAACCATCCCCCGCGACGATCAGATCGTCCACCTCGATGAGAACCAGCCCCGACAAAGCTCCCATCCGACTACGGCGAAGCCGCAAGCAGGGCTCGAGCAGCGACTCAACGAACCCCTCCCCCTTAAGCCAGTCCGTTAAGGTCTGGCGCCAGCGGAGTGGCGCGTCGTTCAAACCATACACTGGGGCGATCAGCTCTATCAGCTGGTCCGCGCCCACTGGCAGCGCAGCACAAGGTTCCACGTAGATTGCGCCTCCGGGTCGATTCAGCCTCTGGCTTTGGCAAAAGGCGTTCTTGGCGTCGGCTATGGCGACCTGCCATGAGAATGACGCAGCCACTTGCAAACATGTCATTACGCTCTCGGATTGGGGGGTCGGAGCGTATACTTCCAGGGATTCGGAATCGGGATCTTGGTGTCCGTGAGCGCGCCATCTAGACTTCGGTTCGGGGCGGGCTCCAACGCCCTCAACCGGCTTTAGACGGCGCACCATTCTCGAGGATAATATTCAATCAGCGCGCCGTCGGCGAACGGAGATCGCCTCTTCGGCGAGAGCGCGCGGGCGGCCCTGGTGGCCAGCATCGCTTCCCACTCCTTAGCATCCGATAGCACGAAGCGGGCCCGATCCCCGGGCCCATGATCTTTCAATCGGACCTCGGCTCCTCTAGGATTGATCTTCTGAAGGGGGAACCTTGTCTGGGCCAGCATTTGCGAACGACAGCTCGTCCTGGCCCCCCAGACCTGCGAGGCCAGCGAAGAAGGCAAAGACCTCGAGAGCGCTCTTCCCTCCCGGGATCTCGCCAAGCTCCCTCAAGAGGGCCTCAAGCCATCTTCGCCGGCCCCCGCCTCCTCCGCCGCCTCGCCGAGGGCCAGAAGATCCCCGCCAAGCCCACGATCGGGCGACCTACTGCGAGCACGAGGGAGGGGAGCGTTCTCGATTGGGCGTCGAGCCCTCGGCGCGGAAATATCTCGGCTCGACCCGATGGGACTCGGGGGGTGGGGGGCCGACCCTGCCCATGGGAACGTCCTCCCGCGGAGCCCCTTGCTCCGCGGAGGCGGCAGGGGGGGCTCTCTCCGCCTCGGAACCTTCGGGCTGGACCGGGGGCGCCCATGGCCGCCGGCTCAAAATCGCGCGATGGCACTGGGGGCCCTCCAACCGCCCCCTCAGGCGGTGAAGACCCTGCAGGCGCTTCTATCGCTGCCGCTCTCTGTCTCACTGAGGGGGCGGCCCCCCCATGCTCTTCGATAGGGGTCAGTCTAGGTTTCTTTCCCAGGGATCCGCCAGGCCCGCTCGCAGGCCTCGGTCCAAGGCTTGGCCCGGGGGGGCCTTCCAGGCGCGCAGCAGCGGGCTCAGAGGAAACCGAGGGGGGGCCCGTAGATGAGGGAGGGCGCTGGGACCGACCCCTCCGAAACGGTCGGCAGGCGAGCGCCCTCTGAAGGCGGCCTTCCTCCGGGAGCCAGCGCGGCACTGGGGCCCAATCTCCGAGCGGAGGCCTCCTCGGGAGCCTCGGCCCGAGCGACCTCGGGGCCATCGCAGGCTTCTGGAGGAGGGGGTCCTTCGGCGGACACATCGACCGCTCCAACTCGCTTTCCCGGGGACCGAATGTCGCCTCGAAGACGGTCGAACAGGCTGCTGTCCAGAAGTTCCGCCCCCATCGATTCAGCCCGCGTGGCCATCCGCACTTGCTCGGCTGAACACTTGAGCAGCCTCGCCCTCATGGCCACCCAGACAACACCGCCGGCGGGAGAGCCCCATGAACCCGAAGCCCGGTATATGACGACTCCGGGGCCCGCCCGGCGGACCCTCTGCAGCGAGTGCGAACGGTTCAAAGCCGTGAGACGTCGATAGACGTAAACCCAATCCACTGGGCGGAACTGA